GACGTKGCTGCTTGTGTTGTGTTGCTGTGTTGTTTGAATGCAGATGAAACATAGGAAAATTACCTGCCAAAGAGTTAATTTAGTCTAACATTTCTGTGGTGCATTGGAACCAAGGAAAATATTAATATAGGTATAAATGAAGTGTAAACAGAAATAGACAYGTTACTTCAAAGGTGACTACATCATTTTCACTCACCTCCTATAAGTCTGGTAATTTGTCTAATTTAGACAGTTTTCGTGTATCTAGAATACAGACTGGTGCATTTAAATTTAAACACAGAGTTTGTTCAAGGTGTACAACTCCTGTAAGCTCAGCAAAATAAGCATAGTGCAGAATAACAATGTTGGAAAGAAAGATTTAATTGCAAATCAAAACACAGCAGACTTTGGAGTTGAAACTATTGGGATGACCAACAGTAGAGCCTTTTTTGTTTAGGATTCAGTTTTCTCTTTCCAAGATAAATTTAAAAAAAAACTTAGATTGCTGCCTGCTAGGCTCACATGGGCATCCCTGACTGCAGTGAGAGGGATTTGGCTGTAATCCCGAGGCACTGTCATGATAGATAAATGAAGAAAGTAACCTTAAGAAAAATTAAATCTCTAAGCTAGAATGCTTTAGTCAATCGGTAAAACTAATCTCTCTGGGCAAGAAGACTTAAGCAGTCACAACAAGTATTATAGTATATTCTGAGTACTAGAACGAGACAGATTTACATACAAAGATATATATTTAAAGCTTAAAGGGCTGCTTGTTTTAATTACAACTAGGTTCAACCTAAATTGTACTGAAAAGTAGATTTACAGTAATCTGTACTAATCTTTACTTCAGAAAAGTCTGACTTGTTCCAACTAGGCATGGGTCAGTATCTGATGTTATAACTTTGAGCAAAAAATACTATACTTTAATGGTATTACTATATTAAACTTGTAAAGAATATACATCAAAAATGTAAAAATGACTAGTTATGGCTCTGGTTACTAACTAATTAACTGTTGTCAATAATACATCAGTATTGGTCAGATAGTCTTTTTAAAATTTTAAAATTAGTTGTACTGTAAATGGGAGTAAGTAGTGTTATTAGTGCTGCCTAGTTACACTTTTTCTCACCTCATCAGGTTCTGTTTAAAGGTCAGGGGTAGCAGTTCAAAGCAGTTTGCTGCAGACTTTATTTTATAATTTCATCATGACTTTGTATCTAAAAAATTGGACAGTTCCCATTAGAAATAGTAAAGGTGTTTGTGTTATCAAACCAATAACACTACACATGAATCTGATGAAAGGCAGCATAGGATAACTAATACTTGTCTCAGATGTTGTGCAACTTCTTATGTATCCTGCATACTTATTGACATTATTTAATCAAATTACTCTCCTGGCTGTTGCCTTCCTACACAGTTCTGCTCAATTCTGTTTTCCCTGCTCTGCTCCGTCAGGGATTTCTACCAAAGGGAAGGATTTCTCCAGTAGAATTTCAATCAGCAAACAGAAGGAGGAGTTGTGAACGATGGCATTGACTTTCTGCGCTGTTTTAGTCTGCCTGTAGTTTAGGAATGGCATCAGAGGAAGTGAATGAAGCCAGTCTGTGTTGACAAGGCTTCCAAATGAAATTACATTTGTCTGACAAAGCAGCAGCTCTCATTCACAGCCGTCTTGTTTGGCTTGGTACTTCTCTCTTCCCTGTAGGGGATGGTTGTTTACAGTGCACACAATTTCTGGTTAGCTTCTTAGCTTAGTTTCCTTCATGGTTGAGCTGGCGCACTATGTCATGGGCAAACACTACTAGTGTAGCATTTTCCTGCATATAAATAATCATTTCTGATTAGATTTCACTTGTTCCTATGACTGCTCAGAGAAAGGAACAAAATCCCACTCTTAACTTCAGACTATTTCTAAAGACTTGCATGGAAACTTCCTTTTGTGGCTCGAATAAACATCTTTTACACCAACCCCCACCAGACTTCCTGACGCTTTAATGTTAATAGATAAGGATTGCCACATTCCTGAACCCCACAAGTTGGAGTGACAATTAGGACTGCCTGTTCGCTCCTCTTCAAAGGGGGGTCATAAACGCCTTTAACCAGACTCTTCAGTGACTGAGACAAAGGACCTACATTCTTCATTAAATGTAAAAAAAGGAAGAAAAAGAAACAATGCATTTTTCTATCATGACTCAATCACTGTGATAATATCTTGATTTAATCACTGTACAGGTAAACACATCAATATGTGTTTGTTCAATCATTATAGCAGCAGAACAGTGATGTCAGTGAAGCGGGTGACACCCCATGTGACTATCTCTCAGCCATTCTGAAGTTTGTAAAGTCAAGAGACAAGAGATAACATTTTTATTATTTTTCAAGAGAGTTTTTTCAACATCAGAAGCCAGAAAACAGCTTGCCAGAAGCTCAGCAGAGGCCCTTCCTGCCAGCCCCTCCCCATGAGCTGGGCAGGATGAGGTCATTCTGCATCTCCCRCTGGTTGAACGAACAGCTACCGTTTAGTATCGACTCAACAACCGAGTTTGATTTTATAGAAGTTAAATAAGCTAATTGTAATTCATGCGTCGTTTTAGTTCGTTTTCTCTACAAAGTGGAAATCAAATTAAGAAGTCTTGCAGCCACCTGGAAGGACCGGACCCCACTGTCATCAGCTCATTACCCACCTTTCTGACTGAAGGACCAGCAGCTGAACAGACACCCTGAGTGTCTGACCGGCCWCTACACTGAAGCAGTTCTTCGGGGAACATCACCTGAGATCCTTCGGTCAGCCGACGACTACTCCTGGTACCGCCATCAGCAGAACAAAAGGGTACAAGTGAACATTTGTCCTGGTGACACACAGGTGCTCAGACTAATTTGATTCTTATCTTTGTATGAGATTTGGTAAACTAAACGATTTTTCTACCTAATTTAACTAGGACCCCCTTAGTTAAACCCTCAGCTAAAAGCAAACTCACCTCACCTCACTCCAAGCCTCAAACTCACCTCTGTGTTTATTTTATGTTTATTTGTTGTTTTATTGTTTGTTTGTTTGTTTATTCACTCATGATTGCAAACTCTTTCAGTTTTTACCTGGTGCAACATGTCATCACTTCTTACTAACTATAGTTGTAAATACATTTAATCTGTAAATAAATGGCCCGTGGAGAACGTGCCAACATAAGCTAATCTCATTTTTGTGTCTTGATAAGAGATATTATTGGTTCTGATAAGACAAGAACTCATCAAATCATTTTGGGTACATTTATTGTGAGACTGATTACAATAAAGTTACAGTTTTTTGTCTCTTTCCTGGGTCAATCCTTGATCAAATTAAGAGCGTGGTGCCTCGAGGTAAGATAACTGGTGTAAATAAATAATTCACAAATTATCCATTTTAGAATATACCCAAAACCCCTACACTAGTGATTGGGTAAATTAGATCCAATAGTTTTAAACATCAACAGAGTTCACGCCTCCAGTAAGAAATTGCTTAATGGCCAAAGAAATATATATGTATTATTAATAATAATAATAATAATAATAATAATAATAATAATAATAATAATAATAATAATAATAAAACCCAGTAAACTGTGCTGCTCTGTAAAAAAGGTTTGTTTGCCTAATTTTCTTTTTATTAGAGTTACTTTTGTTTTCTTACCTTTTATTTGTCTCCTTTTATTGAAGGTGATATTTTGAGAAATAATGAGACTGTGTTAACATTGTGGTATACCTTAGCGCTGGTATTGGGTTCATATTCTGAACTAAATATCATTGCCATTACTCTGTTACCAGAATGGGTCAAAAGYCAATGCTTTCTGTTTGTGTTCTGTGTTGCTTTTTTGCTGGCCCAGTAAAAAGGATGGAATTTCTGCTAATGAGCAAAGTCACCAACATAGTCTGCATTATAAAAGTGTTGCTGTGCTGTCTTAAGGCTCTATTATCAATCTATTGATCTATTATTAGGCTCTATTATCCATGACAGGAGGAGTCTAAAGAACACTCAAATATATTGAATTGTAGTTAACTAAACTGTTTATATTGTGTGAATAAAACATTGGGGTTTGAAGTGACTATGACCCCATTTAAGTCACATATAAATCTTGATTCACTTTGGATTTTTGTTATGCTTAAAAATGGAGATGCACATATCCATTTTTTATATATTTTTGGCTGTTTTGTATTTTAGCAGATTATGATTTTTTTTCCCAGAAACTATAGTTGACAGCTTTCAGTTCTTTTTTTTCCTCAAGTTGTGTTGTTGAATAAAAATGTTCTTGTATGTTTATAACAAAATGCTTATTGTATGATACAGAACTTTCTGTTACTAAAATTCTACAAATATAGTACTGTCTTTCTAGTTTTTACACAGGGGAATTGACACAAAAAAAGCCCAACTAAAACTCCTTAGCATTTTTTTTTCAATTAAGATTTGATTCTTTAGTGATTTGCCTTTTATTTTTTGTTTGTTTGTGTTTTGCAGCCATACTGGTTCTTTATTGGAAAGTCTCAGCTCTTGTGACTGAGCAGACATAGAGTGCTTTTATAGGAAATCATTGTTTCCTTTCAGTAGCTTCCTCTTACTTTTATTTTTAAACATCTTATAGATATCACAAACAGTTAACTTGGAGTCTTGACTCAGTAAAAACTTCCACAGGAAAGACGTGTTATCCCTGACACAAGTTAGAGCATGGTGCATTTAAAGACCAGGGAAGAAACTGAATTTTTGATTGCTGCTTTGCTGTTTTGCTGTCATAAAAACAAATAATAATAATAAAATAATAATAATAATAATAATAATATAATATCCATTAAAAACTACATTTTTTTTGTCACCATTCAAGCTGAAAATCATTCAAATCTGATTGGTGAATTCAGATGCATTCAGATTCATAGTAAAAATTGCATACTAAACAATAAACATGCAAAATTATTTTAAGACTTTAAACTTCAGAATGATTTGTTTACATGTAAACAGCACTTTTGTTTTGCTTCATCTTTAACGTTTCTTTTTTCAGGTGATGGTGTCCCAAAGGAAAACAGTCCTTTCATCAATAACACGGATCATGATAAAGGCAACAACTACGATGGCACCAACATGGCGCTGTTTGAGGTAACTGTTAACACAGGGCTGTACCGTAACTTTTTTAGCTCAAAGCTCTGCTGCTACAGAGATTGTTGGTTTTCTAGCACAGAAAAAAAAAGCTGCAGCACCAGCACACAATGTTTATTACAAATTCTAAAAACCAAAGACACTAATTGTGGGAATTGTTATGGTTCAGGAGTCACGTTTTTTGAGACTGAGAGCTACTTCAGGGGTGCAGAGTAACACGAAGAGCTACATGTTTGATACAAACATAAATTTGCACGACTAACCTTCACATATAATATTAATAAATTTACGTAAATATTTGACWGTCTGATTACATAATAATGTTAAGGACTACAGTAGTGCTATAATAATTATAAATAATAATTCACTATGATAAATTAAAATTATTAAAAATAAATGATTAGAACTCTTTCTGTGCAGCAGCAGATGGATCTGAGTTCAGAGTTCTCAGTTTGAATCCGTTTTGGAGCTCYTCTGTGTGACTCTAGATCCATGTTGGAGATTCTTATTGTAGGACATATGAGTAAATACAGTGATAAGGTAACCATGCTGTAGCTTCATCTGTTGCATCTTCCTTGTAAAAAAAAAGTAGCTTGCAAAAGCTGTTGCACCAGTGATATATAAAACAAAATATGTGTAGCATAGACAGCATTCAAACTCCACAGACACAACCTGAACTTTTTTTGCATAACTTCATTTACCCAAATCTTTTCACTCATAACCTAAATAAATAGTTTTGTTGAGCCCTAGTTTGTACAGAAAGTAAAGTGAACGGAAAAGAGATGCATAGTTGATATTTGCTGAGCTGAGCAAGTGTGGCACGCTGTGGATGTTAAACATTTTATTTCGTCTCCTGAAGGAAGAGATGGATAGCAACCCCATGGTGTCGTCCCTTCTCAATAAACTGGCTAACTACACCAACCTCTCCCAGGGAGCCTTTGAGCACGAGGAGGCTGAAGATGAGGGGCCAAAGAAGAAAGCTGTTAAGGTAAAGGCCAAGTGTAATCAACTCTGTACTGGTGCTTTAGAAAAATGTTTGCTATTTGTTAGAACTATAGGGAAGTGTACAGCTGTTTATTGACAGCTGCACACTTCATATGGTCATATGGTCATCATGATCCTTTAGGGAAACCAAAGAGGTTCTATAGAACAGCTGGAGTGCTCAGAAACCAGGTGACCCTGTGATCGGCTTGTGAAGCTAACAGCTAAAGCAAAACGGTCAAGAGTCTGGATTTCCCATTACTGTACATGTTGACAACAGAGCAGAAAAAGACTGACAATGTAGAAATCATTAAACCTATTAACAATAATATTAACCCAATTATTATTAATATTTTACCGTTTATATAATCTATTTATTGTTTTAAATGATGCCAGTAAAGCTGTTTGTGTTATGGATTTATTAACAGAAGATAAACAGGAAAATGTCTCATTTTACAACACAAGTAAGCAGATTTGATCTTATTTAGCTCAATGTGATCTGAGCAGAACATAATGTAACAGTTTAAAATTAAAATAATCTTATAAAGTCGATGTAATCACTGTTATTTATTGAACTGGTTAACAGATGTTAGCTTGTGGATCATATATACAGAGTTTAGCACTGTTGAATCATGATACAATTTAGCAAACTATTAAATATTACAGCTGATTTGTCCTCTGATTAATATTTAGATCTACAGAGTGTAAAATAATATTATAAATGTGAGTATTTTTAGGTTTCTGTTAGAGGAACCTGACTTGTTGAGAAGATGGTTAGCTAATAGAGACAGGTTTCATTCTATAACCAGAGAACATTTTCTAATTGTTGACTGGTAAATATAAATATTTATTATTTTTTATGACAGTAGGAGGGCATAGAGAGAGGCCATGGAGAAAGACTTCCGCACAGCTTCGAGGCGATTCTGGTCCACCATCCGGCGTCTCAGGAGGGGGAAGCAGTGCAGCACCAACACTGTTTATAGTGGGGATGGTGTGCTGCTGACATCAACTCGTGACAGTGTGGGCCGGTGGGCGGAAYACTTCAAAAACCTCCTCAATCCCGCCAACATGCCTTCTGTTGAGGAAGCTGAGCCTGGGGACTTTGGGTTGGGCTCTCCAATCTCTGGGGACGAAGTCACTTAGGTGGTCAAAAAACTCCTCTGTGGCAGGGCCCCGGGGGTGGATGAGATCCGCCCTGAGTTCCTTAAGGCTCTGGATGTTGTAGGGTTGTGTTGGCTTATGCGACTCTGCAATATCGCATGGACATCGGGGGCAGTCCCCCTGGATTGGCAGACTGGGGTGGTGGTCCCCCTGTTTAAAAAGGGGGACCGGAGGGTGTGCTCCAATTACAGGGGGGTCACACTCTTAAGCCTCCCTGGTAAGGTCTATTCAGGGGTCCTGGAGAGGAGGGTCCGTCGGATAGTCGAACCTCGGATTCAGGAAGAGCAGTATGGTTTTCGCCCTGGTCGTGGAACACGGGACCAGCTCTACACCCTCAGCAGGGTCCTGGAGGGTGCATGGGAGTTCGCCCAACCGGTCTACATGTGTTTTGTGGACCTGGAGAAGACGTTCGACTGTGTCCCAAGGGGGACCTTGTGGGGGGTACTCCGGGAGTATGGGGTACCGGGCCATTTGATACGGGCTGTCAGGTCCTTGTACGACCGSTGTCAGAGTCTGGTCCGCATTGCTGGCAGTAAGTCGGGCTCGTTTCCGGTGAGAGTTGGACTCCGCCAAGGCTGCCCTTTGTCACCGATTCTGTTCATTACTTTCATGGACAGAATTTCTAGGCGCAGCCGAGGTGTTGAGGGGATCCGTTTTGGTGGCCTTAGGATCGCATCTCTGCTTTTTGCGGATGATGTGGTCCTGTTGGCTTCATCGGAACGAGATCTGCAGCTCTCGCTGGAGCGGTTCGCAGCCGAGTGCAAAGCGGCCGGGATGAGGATCAGTGCCTCCAAATCCGAGGGGGGTCGCCCTGCCTCAAGTGGCAGAGTTTAAGTATCTGGGGATCTTGTTCACGAATGGAGGAAGAAGGGAGCGGGAGATCGACAGGCGGATTGGCGCAGCGTCTGCTGTAAAGCGGGCGCTGTACCGGTCCGTCGTGGTGAAGAGAGAGCTGAGTCAGAAAGCGAAGCTCTCGATTTACCGGTCGATCTACGTTCCTACCCTCATCTATGGTCATGAGCTTTGGGTCATGACCGAAAGAACGAGGTCCCGGATACAAGCGGCCGAAATGGGTTTCCTCCGCAGGGTGGCTGGACTCTCCCTTAGAGATAGGGTGAGAAGCTCGGCCATCCGGGAGGGACTCAAGAGTGGTGCCACTGCTCCTCCACGTCGAGAGGAGCCAGTTGAGGTGGCTCGGGCATCTGGTAAGGATGCCTCCTGGACGCCTCCCTGGTGAGGTATTCCGGGCACGTCCCACTGGGAGGAGGCCCCGAGGAAAACCCAGGACACGCTGGAGGGACTATGTCTCTCGGCTGGCCTGGGAACGCCTTGGAGTTCCCCCGGAGGAGCTGGAAGAAGTGGCTGGGGAGAGGGAGGTCTGGGCCTCCCTTCTGAAGCTGCCGACCCCGGATAGGCGGAAGAAAATGGATGGATTGATAGGAGGACATAATAAATATACTTTATTACTAGCTGAAGTCATCATTTTTCAACTAGCTAAAGTCTAAGTTACAGGCTGACTTCAGGTCTGGTTTAGATCATTGTTACTTATAAATTATAAGTATATTTTTCTGGTATAAATCCGCTGTTTTACATGATTGTTGAATTAAATTAACATAATTATTAATTTATTGTAAAAACATGACCGATAATCTGTTAAACAGATCTGGTTCAGCTGCTGTTTATCTATTAGTTTCTATGGTGGCTGTGAGCCGTTGCCCTGTTTGGTCTGTTTCTGCTCCTCCATGCTGTCACAGACACTACCAGTGGACGGGATGGGCGGGGCTCAGTCTAGTGATCTATATATTTAAGTCTCTGAGGGATACCTTCCTTTATCACCTGCAAGTGAAGTGTAATGGCAGACAGTGTATCTGTCTGTGTGCATTTGAGGGCCTGTTTGTTGCCAAAATATCTCATCAACCACTGGTTGAATTTTAGTGAAACAGAACATCTACAACCGATTTAACTTTTAGTCAGCCCGGCTCAAGATGACCACCACAGACAACTGACCTTCTAAAACACAAATATGTCAGAAGGTTTGTTATTTTATATTGCCCTAAAATTGGTTGTGGTAGTCGCTACGAGTTAGCCTCATCACTTACTCTGAGCATGACATCTTGTGTTCAAATACTGTGCATAACTTTGTAATGTTTGACCAAAGTGGCTACAGCTTCATTATTTCTTAACAAAAGATGTTCTAAAATTCAGGCATAAAATGTGGCGGGTGATGTGCAGTCCTCCAAGGAATGCTAGGCATGGAATAGTAAATAAGGTTTTAAGAGTTTTTCCCCATGCAGCAGATGGATGTTTTTCTAACCACAACCCAAGTCCCATGTCAGTTGCCCCATCCTGTCCCCTGCATAGAAATCAGCTTTGGCCACCTCCTACTGGTTTACAGAAAAGTTTTAAAATGAGTCAGAGACGTAGATGAGTGGATGAAGCTGCTGTCGCCCCCTCTTTGTCAGGAACAAGGGGGCCAGTTCTGGAGATCAGTCACGTATAATAGCCGTTTGATCATTTCAGGTAAATTTCACAGCATTTTCTTTTATTTTTACTTGTGTCTTTTTCGCGTCATGTCACCATTTAACATTTCTGTAAGGAATGCTGTTTGAATTGAAATGTTTTTATTTTGATGCCTTTATATTGGACACTACAGAGTGAAATGTGTTACTGGTGTTTTCGTCTCTGACATGTAAGTCTTATTTCTGTTTTAGTTAGAGTTGTGTTTTTACCAAAACATGTTTAGAAGCACAGTATGAATGTTTTGCACATAACGCAGCCATATTCCAAAGGGTTTTTTATTTCCTACGACGATATGGTGGTTCATGATTTTGTCTGTTTACAAACCTTTGACTTGGATTAAATTTTATAGTCAATCCAATCCCAGAAGACCACTACATCTAGTCAACATTAGTAACAACGATGCTATTACACCGTCTTTTTTGCAGATATTAAGCTAAAATTGAATTTATCAGTAATTTTCCATCAGCAACATGTATTTTGAGTGTAACATCTTGTCATATTGTGAGATTGCATTTGACCAAAATGGGTACAGCTCCATTATTTCTTTCCTTAAAATGAGCTAGTTTAAAATTCTGCCATGAGACTTTAATTCTGCCTTTAATTTATAAAACTATACCTGATACACAGACTCATTTATTTAGCTTTATCTGAAAATGATTAATGGGGATTACTGCATCTGTATAGTGATTTAACACAATTTGATGCATTAGTGTTGTTTCTTTTGCACACTATTTCCCAGAATGCTTGAAGCAGTGCAATACAATGTATTAATTTACAAGTAAAAAATGTTATGTATTTTACTTTTTTGGCCTTTGCCAGTTCTGTCTGGGTTTTTTTATTGTTATTATTATTTTTTTGAAATGTTCTGAATATCCTGAATAACTTAACACGCCAAACCTTGTCTGCCTTGTCTTGTCACACCCTCGTACCTCCCACCACCCTGCCTGCTCTACAGAGCCCTCAAATGGGGACCTTCATGGGTGTTTACCTCCCTTGCCTCCAAAACATTCTGGGGGTCATCCTGTTTCTGCGCCTTACGTGGATTGTCGGCACAGCCGGCATCTTGGARTCCCTGGTTATTGTCGGCTTATGCTGTTCATGTGTAAGTACTTACTCACTGGGACTTATTATTATAGAATTTTTCTTACTGTAGACATTTGGTTTTTTTTTTTAAAATGATTTAACAAAGAAGTTCACTTCAGTTTGTTTGTATTTTGTTTCTTCACATCAAGACTTCTCAGAACACTAGACAAAAACAACAAGTCCAAATTCAGTGCAAAATGGATTTAGATCCAAATCTAATTAAATCAGTTTATTCCAAATATAGCACAAGGACAGGAAAGAGACACAGACAAAACAGAAGTGGTAAAGGTGCAGGTTCTATGGAAATAAGAAAAACAAGGTAATGACAGCAGTAACTGTATGTGTAAACATGGAGTAGAGAGAGTAAAAACAGCAGCAGAGTGAGGAAAAGTGGTCAGTTTGTTCTCCTGCAGTCTATAACAGATCAGTTTGTTAAAGTATAACCAAAGGATTGCTCAGGAATAACTGTAATCAACCCTAACTATAGAACTGACCAAAAAGGGAAAAGCCTCATACTAAAAGCAAACAGTATCAGCATCATAGACAAAATCTAGAAGTTGTTTTCACAAGAGAGGAGCTTGATAACTGAAAGCTCTGCCTCCCATTCTACTTTTAGAAACTCGAGGAACCACAAGTAAACCTGCAGTCTGAGAGCGAAGTGCTCTGTTAGGAAATTATGGAACAATAAGATCATTAAAATAAGATGAAGCCTGCTTGTTGAGAGCTTTGTATGTTTGAAGGAAGATTGTAACGTCTATTTTGAATTTCACAGAGAGCCAATGAAGAYGAGCTAAAGTTGGTGAAATTTCATTAGTGCAGGAATGTTCAGGATTATTTTAAGGTTTATGCTCTTGTCATGAATACAGAAATATGAGCGTGACTTCTTATTTCTTATACGTCCAGTCCTTGTGATTCTAATTGTCCCCGGCTTGACATTTAATCTGTCCATCTGCAGAATGTCAGAAACCTAGTGGCATGCACTCCCACACAATGACTATATTTGTCTGTCCCACAGCTGACAATGGATTATTCCAGATTAATCATGGAAAGTACCAACCTGAAACACTGACTATAATCTCGGTGACACACTTAACTTGCATTAAAATTCTTTATTGGGAAACAAGTTTGTCTCACAATGACAGACTGGCATTGAAACTGCCTCTAACCAAGAAGCACGTCTAAAATGTGTTCGTTCTTTCAGATCGTGCTAAAAGCAGGCTCCCAGTGGATCCCACTGCATTTGATCTGTGGTGCTGTACATCCGATGGTGCTACAGAATGGGAACTCCATTCTCTTAATAAACTCCAGCCAGTGTGTGTATTGGCAGGGTTAACCCTCCCTTACACCCTTTCTGTTACGTAAGAGCCAAGCTTAGTCAGACAGATTAATGGTCACTTTCATTTCTAAGACCACATTTGACTTCACACTGATGGCTCTTCACCATTAACCTGCTTACAGATCATACTCTGAGGATACATCATATGGAGTAATTGTCCTCTAGATGTTGGTAAACTCAGCTGTGTACATCATTTTAGTTTAACAGAATCTTTTTACTCCTCAGTTGCTTCTTACATGTGATAACGTACAGCCTTGTGAAGTTGGCTCAGTTTTTATAGTTATTTTAAACGGTTAAAGATCTGATGCTACATTTCTAAACTGTAACTGTAAGTGGGTGATTCAGAAGGGACTATGAGGAATATTTTTTTAGATTTCAGAAGTGGAAATATGCTTTCCAAGACTATATTTTGGTTTCATTTATTGGTGGTCAAGTACAGGCCGCCGTATAGCTGCTTAGGATTTCAGTGGAAACTGTGAGCTGATTGGTTTTAGTCCAACGTGTCTGTCACTTAAAACCGGACATCCACTCATGAGCACAAGGTTTATCTTTGTCCTTGTTCCTTCTCTCTCTGCCTTCTGCTCCTTTGCCTTCCTTTGCCCCGTTTTCTTTTCATGTTCCCCATACTGCTTATTTCATCCTTTTATATTTTTGCTAGATTATATATTTACTATATTTTTTTCTTGTTGTCTTTGCACTTGTTTTAATCTTTTTTTTTCTTTGTCCTGACCTTCCTCTCATCCGGAATGCACTCTTAGGTAACATACTGATGTAGATATCATCAACAACCACAATGAGTGTTTTCACATAACAGCTTGTATCCATTACCAATCCAAAAGATTTAGAGCATAATTTCCTAATTTAAGAAAATAAATACCAGATTAACCAGCCAAGGATTTCATTGTTTTAGAAAAATTCATTGAACCAAAAGTTTTTTGTAGGTATGAAGGTTTTTTTTTTTACTAATCCTTGCTGTTTTTTTATATGCAGGATTAAAACATGTGACTGTACTTAGTGGCTATAAGAGACATTTATATTAATACCAGCCATGAAGGTCTCCCTTTTTAAAGTTTTATCCTCAAACCTTTCTTTGCTTCTCATTTTTCCACAGACTATGCTGACAGCCATATCCATGAGTGCCATTGCAACTAATGGTGTTGTACCAGGTTGGACGCTTTCAATCAAATGCTCATTTTATCTATCTGACACTTTTTATTAGACTGTACTTTTTATGTTTGATTTAAATACAAACATTTCCACTGTTCTTGCTCTCTAGCTGGAGGCTCGTACTATATGATATCCAGATCTTTGGGCCCAGAGTTCGGTGGAGCAGTGGGTCTGTGTTTCTACCTTGGGACGACGTTTGCTGGTTCTATGTACATCCTGGGTACAATTGAGATTCTGCTGGTGAGGAAAACCTGTTGGTGCCTATATAAGTTATATTTTTTTTTATCTGCTTCACCCCAAACTTTAATATCCAAGAGAAGTGACATTCAACAATGCTGCTGATATTTATAGTTTAGTTCAGGGATGGGCAATGGTTTTGATTCTTACAGCTCATGCTATTTTTGCCCTTTACTTCTGCAGGGCTAATTAACAGAGCTCAAGTGTCAACACCTAACATGCGCTAGTCTCAGCTGCTGCTTTATGGTTTAGGACCATTACCTGTTACATGCTTTTGTCTAAAGGATTACAGTGGTTGGGACTTTCTTACTCAGCCCAAATCCTGAAATTGAAAACCCTCTATTGGAACAGAGGCTTCAGGTGCAAAGACATGTGCTGCTGCTAATCCTGCTAGCTGGGAATCTTAAAATGTCTTTAGTTTTACTGGTCCAATGGATCATTTCGGATGTTGGTGCACATATTTTGACAGTAAAGCTCAGCCAGCCCTTGACCACAGTTTGCACTCTTATATTCTTTATCGTTGAGTGTTAAACCTATGCTATCACTGTTTGTTGTTTATCATCTTAGTTATGCTCTGTGCTGTATCTGCTTTTTTTCAGACCTACATTGTGCCTAAAGCAGCCATCTTTGAGGCAGAACGAAAGGAGGATGAAGCTGGCGCTCTCCTGAACAACATGCGTGTTTATGGCACGTTATGCCTGATACTCATGGCAATAGTTGTATTCGTTGGAGTCAAATATGTAAACAAACTAGCACTTGTCTTCCTGGCTTGTGTGATTCTCTCCATTCTTGCCATTTACGCCGGAGTCATCAAGACCATCTTTGACCCGCCAGATTTTCCGTGAGTGGAAGTGTCATTTGCATTCAATTTGAGGCCCTTAAAAAGTTTTTCTATTTAACAGTCTTTCTTTGTGCATCCAGTGTTTGCATGCTGGGGAATCGCACTCTGCAGAACCAGAATTTTGACAAGTGTCTAAAGACTGAGATTATAGGCAATGAGACAGTCACGACCAAAGTTTGGAGGCTGTTCTGTGATGGACCTGAGCTCAATGCCACCTGTGACGAGTATTTTGTCAACAATAACATAACTCTGATACAGGGCATCCCGGGTCTGACTAGTGGAGTCATTTCAGGTAAGAACAACATGTTTCCTCTGTGGACCTTTTTTCATGTGTAAAGTCTGTATTTATTATCTCTCTGTATTTGTTTTTGATTTTAGGAGACTAATGTTTTTGTTGTTGTTGTTTTTTGTGGAGCACTTAAGAGTAATCATTATGATCAGCTTACTCTTCAATGAATTGTTCTGTCTTTAAACAACAGTTCTTTTTCTGCCTGCGCTCATACAGACATGGGGACCTGATTATGTTTTAAACTATAAAATATGTTGTGGATATTGTAAAACACTTTAGTGCAGGAGACCAAAGTTTGAGTCCCAATAAAGGATGACATTTGTTCCCAGCAAACCATCAATAAATACTGTTAAAAAAATTTATGAAGACATTCACAGAAAGTTCAATTTTAGGTCACATTTAGTCCAATTTTTACCATTTACACATTTGATCAGGCAAATGATGAACATTATTGTTTTACAAAACTGCATAGGAGCTCCACCACCAGCAGTTATGAGAGTAACATACATTTTTTAAGGACTCATAATTATGTAGTGCAGGGGTTCTCAAACCTTTTGGGTTTGGGGACCCCTTACAATGGCGAAAAAAATTCCAGGGACCCTCATAAACCCCATGCTGTTTTAAAAGATAATTTATTGTCATTTCAACCCCTAAATGTCATGGGAATTTTTATTTTTTATTTAGTTTACTACGTTTGTTTTATTAGTTCATTGTTTCCCATGCATTTTTAAAAATAAAAACCAAATTAACAATTCAGTGAAATCTTTTTGAGGACCCCCAAGATGCCCCTCGCGGACCCCAGTTTGAGAACCCCTGATGTAGTGTATATTGTTTGATTTGTGATGAAACATTTGTAGCAATGTTAAATAAAAGAAAAGCRGCAGCACTGATGCAGGACTTTTGTAATAAAGAAAGTGAAATTAAACTCAATAATCACTGTAAGCTTTTGTTTTGGAAGTGTTAACTTAAGTCAACAAATGAAGGAGCAGCGGCTTCATTGATACACATTTTATTTCAGTACCCCGGAAAATCACTAATTATTTACTTGTAGATATTTCATTCAAATAGAAAATAAACAATATGCATCTTTTTAAAACAACTGTTCGGTCATGAATTTTATTTCTCAGATTACTTTAGAGAAAAGTTTTGCTCACATTGTGGCTTAAAAATGAACAATAGTCCCCTCTAGTGGCAGGAGTTTTAATCCTCACTATTTGCTTCCATCTCAACAGACTAAAGGTGCTCAGCATGCTCTATTCAAAGCCAGTCAATGCGTGGTCATGTGGTTGCTTGATATTCGTTTTTGCACACACCTTTCAGGGTCCACATACGTTACAACACAGGTTTTTCCTGCTGGGGTCTATACTCTGGGGAAACAAATATCTCCACTCTGACACCCACAGTTACTTGGGCCACAAATCTGTCACTATTGAAGCACAACACGTTTTGGCAGACAGTCGATTTCTGGAAGCAGAGTAGTATAATCAAAATGTCACCATTGCTCTTTGAGTGCTTTCCAGTTTATACAAACGTTCAATTTTAGGTCACAAACTTCAAACTTCTGACCAATCACACAATAATTTACACAAACTTTTTTCTACAAACTTCTGACCAATCACACAATTGCGTATGCAGAGGGGGTGAAAAGACTTGAAGCTGAGAATGAAATTATGATTTTCATCCCACAACTGTGACAATGAGAGACAATTTTGCAGGTTCAGATGGACCAACATGTTCTCACTCCCGACTCGTCAACATATTGACGCTCGGTCAGGTGCCATCTGCGTCCAGTTTTGACACGTCGGGTACCCTCCTCGCATCAGTCATTGCCCCCCACAGCATTTCCGGGTTGCACCACTTAAGGGTCTTTGGTTTGGGGGTCTGTGATTAATATGAGGGATCAGGATTAGTGGTTAATTTTTTTAGGTACTGAGGTCAGGGATAGGCTGTATAGGGCTGATAGAAGTTAAATTTAGTGTCTGGGACGGTTAGTTGTCATGCATTTCCTACTCTTTTCAAAAATATGACAACGTGCGCCTCCTCCTCCATCTCATCTCGTTAAGAACTGACATGAGGGGGGTACCCGACGCGTCCACAACTGGACGCAGATGATACCTGACCAAGCGTCAATGTGTTGACGAGTCGGGAGTGAGAATGGGTTGGTTGGACCATGCAGAGCCCCTAACACTGATGACATGTTGCACTGCAAAAGTAAGAGTTAGGGTCGGCTTTGTTCATTAACTGCATCAATTTTGCACTTCATATGTACCATATACTGTATAACTTGTACACAACTGCTGGCTATGAAAGACTAGCTTTACATTCAACACAAATGCATTCTGCCTCATTGAACCTGAAAGTTCATTCTGTAAGCTTATTACCGGTAGTTATTTTATCTGGCTCCTAGTTTCGTGAAGCCTTACGCAACTCTGCCTTTTGCCTAATGAGAAGACTGCCTCTGTTAAGTGCTCTCATTGCTGTCTGTTTTTTTATTTTATTTCTTTTGTAGAAAACATGTGGTCCAAGTACGGCCCTCTTAATATGTTGGTAGAAAACAARAAGTTGTCCTCTTTTGGTGAAAGTGACCCTGCTCAGGACATGTACCGACCCTATGTGGTCAACGACATCACCACATTCTTCACACTGCTGGTTGGCATCTACTTCCCCTCTGTCACTGGTGGGACTACAGTTACAGCAGCACACAATGATACACAAACTATTTGAGCATACATGCAGTTTAATTTTATTTTAGGTGTTGTCTGATTTTTTTCTCTCTTTCTCTTTCTTTTGATGCCTTTCAGGTATTATGGCTGGTTCTAACCGGTCAGGTGACTTGAGAGATGCGCAGAAATCCATCCCTATTGGAACCATTCTTGCTATCGCAACTACTTCCTTCATCTGTATCCATTCACCATGTACTGTAGCAACAAACAAGAAATCCTGTTGCATAATGTTTTATGAAGGTGTAATCAGTAGTGTAACATATTAATGAGTCTTCAAACTCTTTTACTGCTATTGTTCCACAGCATCACTGCTCCCTAATATACATAATTGGCAGGAATGTTGTTTGAGGGTACATTAAACCAATATTACTGAAGACATTAATTTATTTTGTGTTGCCTGTAAGTTTTTTTGCTGTTGTTTTCCTGAGCAGCACCTTCCAGACATCTCCAGTGTGGTTTTGTTTGGTGCCTGTATTGAGGGAGTCCTCCTTCGAGACAAGTAAGACTTTAGCACATATATGTGGTTTTTCTTTCAGCCGCTCCCTTCTGCAGAGGTCGCCACAGCATGTGTGATAGATTTGGTGATTGCTTTATGCCTGATGACCTTTATAATGCAACATGCAACCCTTTTGTTTGTTTTTTTTTTGTTTGTTTTTTTGCTTTTCCTTTTCGAAAATCTTCTTTAGCAGACATGATTTGCTTTATTTAAATGTATTCCGTAATTTAAAACGTCAAGAGGAACATGCTTTTGATCTGACACGATAAATTATTTTTTAAGTCGCCCATGTATAAAAGGTTTTAACATCTCTTTAGATCAAAGCAGATTACTGCAGACATGTCAAGTTTGTGTGATGTAACAACTAAAGCTGCATTTCTGCTTCTTTTCAGCATTAAATAAAAAATATGTTGGTAAATTGTCAACAACTTTTCTAATGCCTTTTATCTGTCCAGCTTCTGCAAAGCGCTTTATTCACCCATTTGTGCTTTCATTTATCAATACACACTATATTTAAAGCATTTTGCATAATCTCACTCATGCACCAATGACCTTATTGGTCAGCAGTTGTCAGAAGACACTTTGACATGCTGCAGTGATTGAACTCCTAACTTAACATTTGCTTTTGCTTTTAGCTATAGTTTAATCTGTGCTTTTGTGCTGCAGGTTTGGTGACTCTGTGAAAGGGAACCTTGTTATAGGCACTCTGTCCTGGCCCTCACCCTGGGTCATTGTGATTGGTTCATTCTTCTCCTGCTGTGGGGCAGGTCTGCAGAGTTTGACCGGCGCCCCTCGTCTGCTGCAAGCTATTGCACGCGATGGCATTGTCCCTTTCTTACAGGTCAGACACAAATACAAATCTGGTCAAAGCAGACTTTATTCGAATACGCTTCAATGTTGGTGCATGACTGTGTGTGTCTGGTTGAAGGTGTTTGGTCATGGGAAAGCTAATGGAGAACCTACGTATGCTCTGCTGCTGACTGCTGGGATCTGTGAGATTGGCATCCTCATCGCCTCATTGGACTCCGTGGCTCCTATTCTTTCCATGTCAGTAACGGTTCTCACAGTATTTCTACAGACTAAATGAAAGCTGCTCATCAATGATCAACTGTGATGCCTTGAGTATTCCTCTTCTTAAAGCCAATTAAAAGTGACGATTTGGATGAATGAGTTGTTGTCAATTTCCCTCCTCACCTGCAGGTTTTTCCTCATGTGCTACCTGTTCGTCAACTTGGCCTGCGCTCTTCAGACCCTGCTGAGAACGCCCAACTGGAGACCACGCTTCAAATACTACCACTGGTAGGTATTTATCATCGCAGACCTATTATTGTTTATTCTGGGTTTTAATAGTTAAAAAACAGTAAGCCTTTCAGCTACTTTGTCCAAAAACATTATTTCATTAAGATATTTTCTTGAATATAAAGATAAATGGCTGTATAAATGTAAACTCATGTTAAGGTTGTATGTGATTTTTTTTCCAATAAGCTTTTGTTTATTTGTTTTTAACATTGATTTCTTTTTCTGCAGGGCCCTGTCCTTCCTGGGAATGAGCTTGTGTCTTGCCATCATGTTCATTTCCTCCTGGTATTATGCTATTATTGCCGTGCTCATCGCACTCTGCATCTACAAGTATATCGAGTACAGAGGGTAGGACTTGTATTGCTTTCAAAACATCTGTGATAGAATGTGAGCATTAGGATTCATTAAGTTTACAGTGGTTTGCAAAAGTATTCATACCCCTTGAACTTTTCCATATTTTGTCACATTACAACCACAAACATAAATATATTTCACTGGAATTTAATG